CGGCAGGTTCTCTCAGGTGAACAGAAAGGGAGATAGCGCTCCGTTAGTGAATGGCATGCGCTCTATGGATAGTGACCATGGCAACGGCTTCAGTGTGCAGCTGCAGACTTTTTAACTTAAATTAAAAGTTAATCGTCACTGCACCTCAACCACTTCACCTCACTCTAAAGGCTGATTAATACTTAAGACCTAAGCCGGAGCCTCTATGCTATAGACTACTATGATTCTGATAGTAACTTGTTTTAACAAGCTAAATAAAAGTTAATGCCCTGTCAGTGACAAATAGCTTTGGTTTATTATTTGATTTGATTACAGTAATGTTTAACTTGAGATTTACTAGAAATATTTTATTTCAACTGTTTAAAGGGAATACTGCTGATAAACAGCACATTAGGGTATTTGTTAAAAGTTTTTGCAAACCACATGTTATTACAAATCCACATGTACATGCTTTTGTGTATAAAGCAGTAAATTTTTTGATCAAAAGTGTGCAATACACTACTTTAGAATTCATTATTAAATTTTGTGCATAACAACGTGATTAATCGCAAGAAAATCATGCAATTAATCGTGATTAAAAAAACAACAACACATATTTGAGTGGGAATTAAGTGTCCAAAACTGTCCAAATTAATTATATATATATATATATATTACATTTATTGTCATTAACTTCAGTTGCCCCAAAATTAATTTGGACAGTTTTGGACACTTAATTCCCACTCAAAAATGTGTAAATGTCATTGCATTTGATAACAAAATAGCAAACCAAAATAGCAAACATTTATATGTAGTATTAGTGTTCAGATAGGTTTGAGAGCCACTGCCAGTTATTTTAGCAGTTACTATGGTTTCCATGGTAAGTGTCTGAAAGACAAATCTTTCCACAACAGATTTCCTGAAAACAAAACAGAACAAGAAGCAACAAAAATTAAAAAGCACAAAAAGGGCAATGAATTTCACTGTTAGGCTTTAGCCAAGTCAAAAGCTCACGTGACTATATGTGACATAAGTGCACAGTAAAATCGCCAGTGTAAAAATTCCAGTGTTAAAAGTTATCTATTCCTAAAGTGTTAAATTAACAATCTACAGTGTTAAAGGGTACTCCCCTTCAGTGTAGCCTACAGGGTGCCACATAGTGTAATTTTATTTTTACACTGAAAGTGTAAAAAGACGCGCCGAATTGTATTGACTCCGCCCCTCGATGCTTCTGCCTCACAAGACGACAGCGCCATTTTATCTTCATGCGAGGAGCGAGACGGTAGGTTGAATTGCCTTTCTCTTTCTTAATATTAAATAGTAACTTACATGCATTTGTTTACATTTTTAGTAAACTATAGTGGTGAACACATTTAGAAATGATCAACTGCGCGTTTTTGTATGGGTTAAGGAAGATCGTCAAGTTCATGAGATGCAGAGATGTACCTAAGTTACAGAAGAAAAAGAAGAAACGTTTCTCATGCCGATAAAATTTGTTAAATAAATTAGTTGGAATGTGCTTACAATTTGTTTTGTGTATATATATTCGGCTTATTTCATTTTGGTTTGTTGACAGACATCATGAAAGTTGCGTTCCCGCCTCCAGTCGCGCCAAGGCCTGGGTTAAAGACGAGCCTGGCGCTGAAGCTGACGAGGAGGTCTGAAGCGGCACCATTTGGGCTTTTTGAGAGAATTCTTCTAATGGTAATTTTAGATTTGTTTTGTGTGTATACATTAAAACGTTAACAATTCCGTTTTCGCGACACATGCGCATTATTAATAGGGTGTTTAAGTATGTAACGATAGAACTTTGCTTGTTCTTAACACTGAATATCATGTCGTCATATTTGCGTCAAGTTCTTTTTTTATGGCAGTTAAGTTCAAACGTGAAATTGAGTTGAAGCTAATCTATAAATCCGTCTGTCTTCCAGTTCAGTTTATAGGTAACGTTATTTAACTTAGCTACGTGAGCACTGGCAGAGCATACAGTATATACTTTAGCTTATAACGTTAATCAGTCTTCTTTATCAATTCATACAGTCAGGTCCATAAATATTGGGACATTGACACAATTCTAATCTTTTTGGCTCTATACACCACCACAATGGATTTGAAAAGAAACGAACAAGATGTGCTTTAACTGCAGACTTTCAGCTTTAATTTGAGGGTATTTACATCCAAATCAGGTGAACGGTGTAGGAATTACAACACTTTGTAAATGTGCCTGCCACTTTTTAAGTGACCAAAAGTAATGGGACAGATTAACAATCATAAATTAAACTTTCACTTTTTAATACTTGGTTGCGAATCCTTTTCAGTCAATTACAGCCTGAAGTCTGGAACGCATAGACATCACCAGATGCTGGGTTTCATCCCTGGAGATGCTCTGCCAGGCCTCTATTGCAACTGTCTTCAGTTCCTGCTTGTTCTTGGGGCATTTTCCCTTCAGTTTTGTCTTCAGCAAGTGAAATGCATGCTCAGTCGGATTCAGGCCAGGTGATTGACTTGGCCATTGCATAACATTCCACTTCTTTCGCTTAAAAAACTCTTTCGCAGTATGCTTCGGGTCATTGTCCATCTGCACTGTGAAGCGCCGTCCAATGAGTTCTGAAGCATTGGGCTGAATATGAGCAGATAATATTGCCCGAAACACTTCAGAATTCATCCTGCTGCTTTTGTCAGCAGTCACATCATCAATAAATACAAGAGAACCAGTTCCATTGGCAGCCGTACATGCCCAAGCCATGACACTACGACCATGCTTCACTGATGAGGTGGTATGCTTTGGATCATGAGCAGTTCCTTTCCTCTTCTCTTCCCATCACTCTGGTGCAAGTTGATCTTTGTCTCATCTGTCCATAGGATGTTGTTCCAGAACTGTGGCGGCTTTTTTAGATGTTTGGCAAACTGTAATCTGGCCTTCCTGTTTTTGAGGCTCACCAATGGTTTACATCTTGTGGTGAACCCTCTGTATTTACTCTGGTGAAGTCTTCTCGTGATTGTTGACTTTGACACACAAACACCTACCTCCTGGAGAGTGTTCTTGATCTGGTTAACTGTTGTGAAGGGTGTTTTTTTCACCAGGGAGAGAATTCTTCGGTCATCCAGCACAGTTGTTTTCCGTGGTCTTCCGGGTCTTTTGGTGTTGCTGAGCTCACCGGTGCGTTCTTTCTTTTTAAGAATGTTCCAAACAGTTGATTTGGCCACACCTAATATTTTTGCTATCTCTCTGATGGATTTGTTTTGTTTTTTCATCCTGATGATGGCTTGCTTCACTGATAGTGACAGCTCTTTCGATCTCATATTGAGAGTTGACAGCAACAGATTCCAAATGCAAATAGCACACTTGAAATGAACTCTGGACCTTGTATCTGCTCCATGTATATGGGATAATGAGGGAATAGCACACATCTGGCCATGGAACAGCTGAGAAGCCAATTGTCCCATTACTTTTGGTCCCTTAAAAAGTGGCAGGCACATTTACAAAGTGTTGTAATTCCTACACCGTTCACCTGATTTGGATGTAAATACCCTCAAATTAAAGCTGAAAGTCTGCAGTTAAGCACATCTTGTTCGTTTCTTTTCATATCCATTGTGGTGGTGTATAGAGCCAAAAAGATTAGAATTGTGTCAATGTCCCAATATTTATGGACCTGACTGTACTGCGTGTTATTATAAATTATGTACTAACTATTTATCTGTCTGTCTGTATTTTATTAATATGAATCTGTATTTTCTGTTAACATAATAAATAACATTAATAAGTTAATAAATAACATTAATAAGTTATGGGTAAAACAATTCTAAATGTGTCTTAATATCGAATATAGTTAACCAAGTTCAATTTAAGGTGCCACTACTCATTTAAATTATTTAAATGTATTTAATCAGATGAAATGCATTTTAAACTGTTTCAGGCAGGCCTACATGTGAACATTGCACAATGTTTTGTGGATACTAACTTGTAACATTCATTTAATTAATTCTAAAATGAAGGATGTGAATAGAAATAATTTTACAATTTGACGCCCATGCTTTATAGTCAGCTCTCAGCTTAATCAAAATTAATGGTAATCTCAATTATTTTTTTTACTATATTTACATCTCTTATTTAAATTGTATAGACCAATGCCACTTTTGCGTCATCGAAGGGTAACGCCCCCTTTTGGGGGAAAACACCTCTATACTGTCAATGGGAAAACAAACGGATTCCCATGAGAACAGAACTCGCACTAGATCTGCAAAGTTTCTTGATAGCAAAAATGGCACAAACTTAAAGAAGCTAACGTTACTGAATACGGGGTTACAGAGGTTTCCCTTTGAAATGGTCGAAAACTGGATTAATGACCCCACACAGCGGCCATATGGACTATTCAGACATCTAACGTTACCACTATCTCGTGGAATCACCAAGTAAGTAGCCTTTTTTTATTTATTTATCATTTACACACTCACAGTAGCCTATTACAAACTACTAGACGATGAGGCCATGTCACTTGGATCATATTTAACTTGATTTAAGCTATTGACAGTTTTGTTGTCGACTAGCTATTAGAAAGACTAGCTGTTAGCAGCTAACGTTACCTTATTAGACTATGTCAATAGCTTAAATCAAGTTAAATGTGATCCATTCATCGTCTAGTTTGTCATACTGTGAGTGTTAATGAAAAAAAAGGCTACTTACTTGGTGATTCCACGAGATAGTGGTAACGTTAGATGTCTGAATAGTCCATATTTGGCCGCTGTGTGGGGTCATTAATCCAGTTTTCGACCATTTCAAAGGGACACCTCTGTAACCCCGTATTCAGTAACGTTAGCTTCTATAAGTTTGTGCCATTTTTGCTATCAAGAAACTTTGCAGATCTAGTGCGAGTTCTGTTCTCATGGGAATCCGTTTGTTTTCCCATAGACAGTATAGAGGTGTTTTCCCCCAAAAGGGGGCGTTACCCTTCGATGACGCAAAAGTAGCGTTGGTCTATTGCATTACTAAATTTTGGCCTCAACTGATCAATATTTGTTCAAATCCTTTTTCAATAGATTTTGCCCAGACCCCTGCAGTGTCAAGTGAAGGAAGCTCCTCTCATGAGAATGCAAAGAGAAATGAAGAAAGAAATAGAATGCTGAAGATTAATCCATAATTGTGAGTGTCATTATATTTTTAATTCTATGTGCTGTAGAAATTTTAGTACATGACGAATGAACATGAAAAATCTAAACCTATGTGGGCAACCATACAATGCCTTTTTTCAGAACTGGAATTTACATGTGTTGTTGGTGATTGTGTCTTGATTGTCATTAAAGGGATAGTTCACTTTGAAATACATTTTTGATATGTTGTAGCTTACCTCGAGGGGCATCTAGGTAGGTGTAGGTGTCTTTGTTTCCACAGTAGTTTCAATTTTGATATTTTTAGGTCAAACCGTTCTTGTCTGTCAGTCATATCATGGATGTCTGTGGTCACCACCTCAAAGAACATGCACAGAGAAGTCCAAATTAAACATGATTTAATGACTCGTAAATGTAAGTACACATTGATGGCCTAAGACACGAAATGAGCGGTTTGTGTGAGAAAACGAACAGTATTTATATCGTTTTTACCTCTTGTAATCACAGTCACGTCCAAGTACACTGAGGGCGCGGGCGCTTCGGTCTGCTGCACAAGCGCCGGAAAGCCCCGGAAGTGTGCAATGTGTACGTACATTTACGAGTCATTAAATCATGTTTAATTTGGACTTCTCTGTGCATGCTCTTTGAGGTGGTGACCATAGACCTGCATTATATGACTGACAGACAAGAACGCTTTGACCTAAAAATATCAAAATTTAAAATACTGTGGAAACAAAGACACCTACATCTTGGATGCCCTTAAGATAAGATAAAACATATCAAAAATTAATTTCAAAGTGAACTATCCCTTTAATGGCATGGTGATTGGTGTGTCTTCATGAATTGTGTAAATTCAAGATATTAAACTGCAAAAAGTTAAAGGGTTAGTTGACCCAAAAGTGTAAAATTGTCTTTTCAAACCCTCATGTCATTTACACCTGTACTTTGAGTTGTTTACTTGTGCGTCACCCAAGACGAATGTTAAAGGCTGGTGCGAATGGCACTACTCTGCCTAGCACTGAGCGAGATTTGGTTATCATTATGCTATGTAACTGTTGATTGTTTTTTTTTTGTTTTTGATTTTTGGTTAGAAGATCTCAGCTTAGTTCCTGGAAATGCTTCAAGCATGAAGAGCTTCAAGGAACTGATTGACTCTGCTGTGAAAGATGATAAGTGATGAGGTAAGTCTATATTTCAGAATAAGATTATCTAAACACGTTCATGCATTTTTTTGTTGCATTTTTTTTTCAAGTTGTAACATCTTCTCTCATCTGTAATTTAGAATGGGGCAGCAATCTTGCATCAATTTGTCTCCTCCTTGATTTGATTCCACCACCCTGGAAAGACATGGAAAGATGTGCTCATATCAAGCTGAACAACACCTTGTTGTCTTCAAAAGGGTAAATTTGGACATTTCTCTCACTATTTATTGTCTGCCTCAAAATATTGCCATTTGAGTTGACTTTATTGTGGAAAACTATAAAGACCACCAATTGGAGAGCTGACTTTGATTTGTTTGTTTTTTTGTCTTTGGCAGAGACCAGCGTACAAGAACACCTTGATTGCATTGAACCGACCACACAGCATACCTGCTCGCTGCCGGTGGGGATCAACTCAAATACTACTATACCTGCTCGCTGATGGGACAAAGAGGGACTGCATTCATGGATGCTACACAACTGTTGACAAGTAGATTTTTGCAATCTTGTTCAAATCCACCTGTCATATTTGTTAATGTATAGGCAAACTGGGTGATTTTATGCTTTTTCCCTTTTCTCTTTTTTTTCTCTGCTAAACTCCTAATGAATGTGACAATTTGACTTTTTCCATATATGGCATATGTTTTAAAGGGGCCACTTTGCCATTTGTTGAATAAACTTTGGATTTGTACATCTGTCTAAAGAGTCTTGATTTATGTCTAAGCTTGTACATTACAGTAACACTATATAATGGTGTAAATAGTTTTTGCACTGAACAGAATACTTTTATAAATTACACTTATAGTGTAAAATGCAATGGATTTGAATCAACACCAGGGGTGTTAAAACCACAGAGTGTAAAAATTTTAAGTGTAAAACTTAACACTCACAGTGTAATTTTTCTACACTGTACGGTGCTGTATTAACACTGTAAATTCTACACTACAAACAGTGTACTTTTTACTCTAGATAGAGTGGGACCATATATGATCCGGAGTAGTGTTAAAATTAACACTTAAAGTGTTAATTTGACACTGCGTTTTTTACTGTGTGCTTAGAAGAGAATGGCTGCAGCCACTGGTAGATTGTTGGTTGGTACCCAGAGCCTGTGCTCAGTAATCCGGGTGCAGAACCGGCTTCAGTGGGCACAGCAGGCTGAACATAGTTCTGGCCCTCTTAGAAATTGATCTCGGCATGTCAGCCTGATGGAATGGAGCTGAAAGCTGATGCGTCGCACCGTGAGTCCTGCCGATGCAATCTTCTCTCTGACCTCCACATCGAGCCAGAAAGTACAGTCTGGTCATTCCTCTGTGCCCTACAGTTGTCTTTGATATCACAAATGCATTTACCCCACTTGTCACAAATAATATTCTTCACCAAAACGCAGTAACCAATTTAATTATCTTATTTGACCAACTTTCCCTCCCTGATGACATCACAAAGGTTTTACATATAGATTACCATTATGGACCCTATCCTACACCCGGTGGAATGCGGCGCCAGGCACTATGCAATTGTTTTTCTTTTGCTAGTTTCAGCCCGACGCAGTTATCATTTTCACGTTCTGCGCCACATTGTTTAAATATCAAATGCATTTACAGCAAGTGCAAAGTCAAAATCTAGGCATACCTGGTATGCTACCTGGTTATTACATTACCATAAGTTATTTTAAATCTACCGGAATCTACAGTGAGCGTGCATGCGAGATAGACACGCTCTAAACCGTGTCGTACACATGGCAGAGAGGGAAATGTTTTTATGTTAATATTTTTATGTTTTTTTATGTTATGTTTTATGCAAATATTTCGTTTCAAAACACTGTTAAAGACATGATTGATGTCCACAAATCCACCGCATATCAGCTCAACTCTATTAACTTAAAGCTACACTGTGTAAATTTTTTAGTTTATTCTTAGCTAAAAACACTTAGTTCTTTCAAAAATATATGTGCTTATTAATGTATATTTACTTTGTTCAAGTAATAAAGTATTATCGTGAGTGTATAATATGCCATTGAAAATACATAGGGGTAAGGGGTTCTAATGTCGGTCGCCATGTTGGCCCACCATCTTGAAAGTACATTAGCCAAATAGGGAAATACTCGTTAATTCAAGGTTCGCCTTTCGCGTTTACGTTTGAGTTAACACTCATGTATGAGGTCGAACTGGAAGCCATGTTAATCTTGTACTACATTGGCCACCGTAGGAGTTAAAACGAAATCGGAATTGAGAGGAACAGAATCTATTATTCACTGGATGGCCATTTACCTTTTCACCGCTAGATGGGGGTAAACATCACACAGTGTAGCTTTAAGAATCTTGATGTCGGTGAAATTTCCTTTCCTTTTTCTTTGATCCTCGATTGATATGGCTACAAGTTAACAAAACTGCAGAAGTTAGTTTACAGCGAAACCCAGCAACGCACACTACTGGGCAACCGCTATAGTTCCATGGCTATTCACATCAATGTGCAATGCTAAGACCAGGTGTGGTAAAGCCTAGGCTTAAGTACTGTATGGTTGGTGCAACCGATGTTAGGTCAACTCTAAAGACTGGTCTTATAAGACCTACTAAGCAGTTAGGATTAGCTTAGAAAAGCCTTGTTGGTGCAACCGGCTCCTGATGTGAATCATTAGAGCCAGTGCTGAGGCTGGTCTTTGAGGGTGCTCTGCTGCTTAAGCTAGCTGGAAAGCCTAATGAGCTAGCAAATAATACAGAGACCAAGGAAACGCACAAAATCTGCGCACACACATGCTTTAAGAACTAGAATGCATGCATTCGCGGCCACACGTGGTGGTCTGTGGGTCTCACGCGGCATCTGAGAGAATCAAAAGAGACAGGGGTATTTATCTGCTCTTCCCTCTGCTGCACATGGCCAAATCAAACGAAAGGAGAAAGTTTCCTATTCTATAAAAGCGCTTTAGATCAATTGCGAGCATCCAGCCTACATCAAACCTGCTTTGCACATAAAGTACACACACACAGAGAGAGAGAGAGAGAGAGAGAGAGAGAGAGAGGAGGGGGGGGGGGCAAGAAAAGCGAGGAGGGAACTAAAAGCACAGGAGGAGACAACAATTTGTCAGCACGAGAAATGCCGCTTTCAATCTACCATCGGGCGGCAAAGGCCTAAATACGAGAGACAGATAAGTAAATGCAAACTTCAGTCCGGCAGAGCAATGCTGAAAGCTACAGTATTCGATCAAATGCAACTGAAGGAGAAGATAGGTGGTTTTGTTTTATATTGTGTTCTTGTTTGTTTCTTTTATTAGAATATTAGACCTAATTGGTATAATGGTAAAGGCAAGTCCTTCAATGCACCAGAAGGGTTTAAAAAAATTGTGTTTTGAGTGTTGTTGCCAAGTAACCATCCGTATTTGCAAGACCGTCAAATACATGCAAGCTCAGATTTCAAAGACTTTTACCTCGAGTCATATACATCACACTATAATAGTGCTTCAATGACAGTCATTATAAAGCTCAGGGGTGAGAGAAAGACAGTCGCACTTACCTGTTTTGATCATTCAGGAAAAGCAGCATGTGAGGAAGAAAAATACACACATTACTTGTAGTACTCAAGAAACATATTTTGCAGTAAAAAAGACAGTACATTAAAGCCACCAAAATAAAGTGTGACCAAACAATAATAATAATAATAATAATAAATAGAAGAAAGAGAAGAGAATTATTAAAAAAAATTGGGAAGCTCATTTAAAGCTGCAGTCCATAGCTTCTTGGGGTAAAAAAAAAAAACAAATATCCAAAAGACACATTGGAGAAAATACATGACCAGCCTGTGTTGCCCTAGTTTGACTCAAAGTGGTAAGCTTGCAATAATGTTTTTAATTCCAGTGACACTGGTGGATTTCCGCGGGAGATTTGAGCATGTCTTTGCGTCATTACGTCACATCTGTACACATAAAAGAGGAAGACATGTCTCAACTCGCCCGTCACCTCCTCCTTGGAGTCAGTAGCTTCTGAGGTAGTTTCATTCTACTATAAAATTATTCCGGCCTGCTCAATTTTGCCGCCAACGAGCCTCACAACAGCTATGGCCAGGGAGAGTGGAGACTCCATCCCCTGGCGGTTTAGCTGGGCAGGGACCACTTCGGGGCCACAGTTACATCTGTTGCCTCTCCGGACTAGTCCTTCTGCCAGTTGTGTTTCTGTCTGAGAGGACATCCCTTGGACAGACACTGACTCTCAGCTGACCCCAGGGCCCCGCAGAAATGCGTTCCCCAGTGAGCCTTCTAAGAAAGCAGGTATGCGATGCATTATCACTTGGCGCTGATCAAGTTCAGTTATGTTCATCACACTCAGGTGTTGAGCAGAAATGCTACTGAAGCTTGGTGATCTTCACTTCTAATGTTGAGCAGTGCTCCTGTATTGTGCGTGCATGTCACTTGCACCTACTGTGCTAAGTCAGGAGTGGAACAGGTCTTGAAATTTGCACCTTATTGGCCCAACCAGTTCTAGTTCCCTAAACAGGAAGGTTCAGGTGGCTATCACAAGGATTTGTGGTAGTGACGATCACTTTTTGCAAGCACCCAACTGATAAGTTGGAACCTATTTGTTGATGAGTCTTCTCTTCTTCTCTTATTCTATGCTGAGAGCATTCAGTCATTTCAGTGCTCTCTTTCCTGATAGTTGGGTTTGAGTAGGCTGTTCCTTCACCCTCAATATGATGACGAAAATCATATACAGAAGGATGGGAAGCACGTCCTGATCGTCAGGTTTCTCAGGGAGCAAGGGTCAAGCACCCCTCTTATCCTCTTGGGCCTATCTCTGGTGCTACTGCACTGCAGAGACCACCCCTAAGCCACTCCACAGTTCTCCTGGTTGCATGGTCTCTACAATAAGGTAAGGACTTGCTCGCTTTTGGTCAACAACTTGTGCCTGGAAATCGGGCCGGCTAGCTCTCACTAGCTGAGACCCTGGCCTGGATATGTGCCCAAGGTTCCTACCTCTCCCATTAACTGGGACCAGGTGGTGAGCCTGCAAATGCTGCCTAGAGAAGGCAGATCCAGCCCTGGCTTTCTCTGTCCGTCCGCTTCATTGCGGTTTTACATGCACAGAACGCAAGCATTTTGGACCTTTTCAAGCGAGGTTGGCCCACTGAAATGTGGTTGCCTTCTTCATGGTGAAATTCCAGAGATAAAAAAAAAAATATGTCCACTTAGGTGGTGAGCTCCTCTTAAATGAGTGTGTGCTCCTGCTTAGGTGTTGACAAAGAGTGCTTCGCTGACAGATATTCTACAGAGTTGGGGGATGGGCGACACATTAGTTGAACCACTGCTTCCAGCGGGCTCCCTTCACATGAAGCCATTTTCACTGTAAGCCTGGTTTGTTGTGTCGGCTTGCTGCGCCTTTCCCCTCCTATGGACTGGATACAGGTGCAAATCTTGCTCTAGTTGAATTCCCCTTTTTTAGCCGAACCCTGTCGAGTTCCTCCATACCCTTCGGCAACGGACGTTGCGGAACGTCTGAAGCCAGGCCTATCGCTTGTATGCAGTAGTGGAACCTTTGTTAGGGTGAGTTCATATGCTGTGATCCCTACGGCAATCCCATATGTGTATTCTTCCATGTTACGGCTCCCTGCGGCGAGGCCCTGTCTTCCTTTGGCAGAGCCTGCTCTGCTGTCACTGTTCAGTTGAGGGGGGACCCTGTCATAGGCTGGAGGCACCCCAGTGACATT